TAATTTGCTAAGTGTTGCCTCAATGAACAAGTTTCAGACCTGAGACTGGAATTCAGAATTGTTTGACATCAAATCATAGGCATTTGATTCAACATATTCAAGCATCACATTGGGAGATTTTTAAAAATTCCTCCAACCCAGCAGAACACTAAAAACAAATGTGTTCAAGCATCACGTTGTTCTCTGTGATGTGGATAATAATGTCTATCTGTGTATGCAGATAATAATGTCTATGTCATGTATGCTTCTCTCTTACCTGGCTCCAATTTTCACCACAGCTTTATTTCCAGATTGTCCCCATCTACACTTGGCCCTCTCCTATTAACTTTTCAAGACTCAGGATAGACATTATTCCCAGGAATCATTTCTCCACCTCTTCTCTTGCCAGTACCCAACCTGGGCTAAGCTGCCCCCTATATTGTATTCCCACAGTGTCCTGCAAAAAACTCTGGTCCAGCACCTACAAGCCCAATGGAAATGATCTGTCTATGTGTCTGTCTCCCCAGCCATCCTGCATGCTTTTGGAGGCATTTTGTCTTTTTTTTTTTTTTTTCAGAGTCTTGCTTTGTCGCTCAGGCTGGAATACAATGGCACAGTCTTGGCTCACTGCAACCTCTGCCTCCCAGGTTCAGGCGATTCTCCTGCCTCACCATCCTGAGTAGCTGAGATTATAGGCACCCACCACCACACCCGGCTAATTTTTATATTTTTAGTAGAGACAGTGTTTCACCATGTTGGCCAGGCTGGTCTTGAACTCCTGACCTCGTGAACCGCCCACTCTGACCTCCCAAAGTGCTGGGATTACAGGCATAAGTCACCATGCTCAGCCTTTGTCTTCATTTTTATGCAGCAAACACCTAGCATTGTGCTTGGAACACAGAGAAAGCTCAAGAAATGTTTCAGAACAATTTAGAAAACCTGGATCTCAGAGCTGGCAGGACACCTGAATATCAACTAGCTCACACACTCATCATATGGTTGGCTCCCTCCACAATGTGTTGCTCCTCTTCCCTTGGGGACTCATTACTTCTCAAGGCAGACCAATGGTGATTTGTACATTGATCTTCACCTTGTCTCTTTGTACCCTAGAGAATTAGCCTTTTTGTACTATTGACCATTCATCTGATGGGCATTTTCCAGTCTTGGCAACAAATGGATTTGACCAATCCCTGAATGATGCCATTTTCCATTTTAGTAAGTAGAAAATCAAGAAGAGTGAGGATCCTTTCTCTTAACAACCAATTGGCAACACTCAAGATTTCAGTATCAATTAATCAACAACCCACTGAAAAAGCCACCTGTGTATTATAAGATTTATGTGTTTGCATGGATGAGCTCATGGGGGTAGTGTTTGTGGGTATACAGGAGGAGAATTCCCTCTTTCTAATTTATAGAGCCCTATTGGAGGTAATCTTTACCTAAGGAAGTACCTTTAACAGTTGGTACCATGGAGTTCCCCTGGGCCAAGTGGTCTCAAATTTTTATGAGTCCATTTTGCACTGGGCTGAGTTTTCCTTAGTCCAGGGCAGGCCACTTGAGCATTGCCTGTGGACCTCACATTTAGGAGTGCCTTAATTTGAATTTGTCTTTTTGTTTTTAACCCAGCTGGGATGAATGACAACATTCAAGATATTTTCATTTTAGATGCCAAATTCGGATACGGACAAAGCCCTCTCCAAATGGCTTTCACTGGCCCAATTATAGGCTATGTCAAAATTAGTTCAAATGTTTGAAGGAGGCAGATTCAGGCCTCCCAGTTTCCTCCCTATACTTCTCCGGGGAACCAGATGTTCAGGCTGATAAACCTCTGGGTCTGATAAGCAGATTTTCTCCAGTCTCATCTTCTTTCCCTTTCTCATTGTCATGTTTGCTTTGCTGTGTTTGCCATTAGAGCTCTGTGTATTGAGCAAACTTTTTAGCCTGTGTATGCCTACGGATGTATTTGCCCTGCTCTCTTTCATCCTGAAGGACTGTTTACATTCTAGCCTTCAGCACTTTTTGGAGACTAGAAAAGGATATAAGCCCTGAGCCTCTGAGCTGCAGAAGCTGATATTTTCTGTGGTCAGGAAATACAGCAATTCTTATGGCTCAGAGCCAGAATAAGAACATCTCCTGGATTTACAACATTGTCTTCTCCTAGAGGGCAGGAAGAAACCCTGAGACACTGGCATAAAATACTTTTTCCAAAATAACCATAGTAAATAAGCCTCACCAATCCCAAAGTTAAAGAGCTCATCAAAGTTCATGGAACTTCTTCTGTTACCACGTAAGATAGGCTCCTAGCTCTGCTGCTTACTTGCTGTGATTCCTGAGAAAGTTCCTGAATGTCTCTGTGCCTCAGTTTTTTAATCTCTAATATGGGGCTGATGATACTCACTTTTTGGGCTGTTGCAATTAGCAAATAAAGCAATAAATTTAAAGAACTTAGCAAAGCCCCTGGCACATAGTAAATACTTAACAAAGTATAATCGCTATTATATTTTTATTGGCTGTGTTATTTCTAATTTGAAATCATTCATTCCTCACATCAAACTTATTTTCTTTTTTCTTTCTGATATTCTCCTTCTATAGCAGTGATAAGCTGGCTATTTACAATATAAAATCTTTATTGCACTGCAAACAACACTGGTGTTATAATTTTGACAATTAGAAACTCTGGATAAAATTCTTTTTAAAACAACTCTTTAAAGATCCCAGAGAGTTTTAAAAAAACAAACAGCAACAAAACCTGGTATAAATTGGAGTAAGTTTGGCCCTTGAAAGAAGGAACCACATTGGGTGAGATCCAAATTTAGTGATATTCCACCTGAAGACATTCCCTCATTTGTACAGCATTCAGAGGATAGAGCTCCAGCAGAAAGGCGTAGTCTTATTGGCCTTAAAATCAGATGACAGAGTTCAGGGCTTCCAGAGTAGCAAGAAATTGAGGTCAGAAATCCTGGAAGAAAGGAGCCACGGAAATGGCTATGCAAATAAAATCCCCTCAAATCTTTGGCTCTCCTCCGATGTGAATGTTTAGAGAAAAGCACCAACTCATGCCGGGGGCAAATAATATCTGGAAAGCCAAAAGGGCGAAACAGAGGTTTTCACAACTGCCTGCCACAGGAAAGACAGATTTTGGAGTTTGAGTTCCACAACATTGAAGAGACATGGCAGAAAGCTTGGGCTGTCCATCAGAATCTCGGAAAGGCAGTAGTTTGGAATAAAGTTCATGTGCCAGGACTAAAGGAATTGACCTAGGACTAAGTGCAGAACCAAAATGGACATGCTCTAACGAAGACCAAAACCAAACTTCTCAACACCAAGGTGAACTACTGGTAATTTAACTTTTTGCTAGAACCAAACACTTTTCCAAAGAAGATAATAAAGTCTGGGCACAGTGGCTCACACCTATAATCCCAGTGCTTTGGAAGGCCACATCAGGAGAGTCATTAAGGCTAGGAGTTTGAGACCAGCCTGTGTAACATAGACCCTGTCTCTACAAAATAGTTAAAATTTTTTCAGGTGTGGTGGTGTGAACCTGTAGTCCCAGCTACCTTAGAGGTTGAGGTGGGAGGATCACTTGAGCCCAAAAGTTAGAGGCTACAGTGAGCTATAATCATGCCACTGCACTCCAGCCTAGGCAACAGAACAAGACCCTGTCCCTTAAAAAAAAGAAAAGAGATAGTAAAGCCCAGAACCTCTGTGACATATTATCCACAATGACCAGTGTACATTAAAAATTAGATGTGTGAAAACAAAACAAAACAGAGAAATGTGACTCATATTAAACTGAGGAATCAGCAAATAGAAATGAACCCTAAGATGATTTCCATGTTGAAATAAGCGAATGAGGACCTTAAAGATGTTTTTATAAATGCATTCAGGGAACTTAAAAAATTATCATAATGAATGGACAGAAGAGAAATCTCAGCAGAGACACAGAAACTTAAAAAAAGAAGCATGAAAATTCTATAACTGCAAAGAGGAATATCTCAAATTTTAAGATGTACAAGATAAGCGTAATAGTTGAATAAATAGTAAGCTTTTAGTTAGAGCAATAGAAATAACTGAATCTAAAGAATGAAGTTAAAACAAAATAGGCATAAAGAGAGCCTCAGTAAGATGTGAAACAATATCAATTAGATAATTAATTCAAAACATATTGGCCGAGGCATGTCCAGAATAGGCAAATTTATAGAGAGAGAAAATAGAGTAGTGATTGCCTACAGCTGGAACGTGGAGAAGAGGAACAGTGACTGCTAATAGGTACAGGATCTCTTTGGGGAGTAATGAAAATATAAAATAAGTGTGGCGATCATTGTACAAATCTGTGACTAGACTAAAAACCATTCAATTGTACACTTTAAATAGGTGAATTGTTTAGCACATGAATTAAATCTCCATAAAGCTGTTAAAAAATACTGGCTGACATGCTTACACATTTTGTCAGCCACAGACCCAGAAACCTCAGCAAACATCAAGCAGGATAAATACAAAGAAAACACTGCTAAAAATAAAAGATAAACAAAAAATTTTAACATGACAAAAGAGAGAGAGAAATACATTACATACAGGAAACCAATAATATGAATGAGTTGACTCAGATCAGAAACAGTGAAGGTCAGAAGACAATAGAATTGCTGAAAGGAAAGCAGAATTTTACAAAATACAGACAGTCCTTGACTTATGATGGTTTGATTTAGGATTTTTCAATTTTATGATGGTGCAAAAGTAAAATTTAGTAGAAACTCTACCTCATGTACCCATACAACCATTCTGTTTTTTACTTTCAGGATAATACTCAATAAATTACATGAGATATTTGATACTTTATTATAAAATAAGCTTTGGGTTAAATGATTTTTGCCCAGCTGTAGACTAATGTAAATGTTCTGAGCATGTTTGAGGTAGGCTAGGCTAAGCTATGATGTTAGTTAGATTAGGTGCATTTAAATGCATTTTCTTTTTTTTTTTAATTGTACTTTAGGTTCTGGAGTACACGTGCAGATCATGCCGGATTGTTGTATTAGATGCATTTTCAACTTATGAGATTTTAAATTTGCAATCAGTTTATCAAGATGTCACTCCATTATAAGGTGAGGAGCATCTGTGTTTTAGTCAGGGAAAATGTGTTACAAAACTGAAGGTAAAATAAAGACATTTTCAGATTTAAAGTCAAGATAGTTAGTTACACTGTACTTGCAGTATAAGAAATGCTAAAGAGCCTTTCTGCCTGTGGATGCTGCCGAAGAAGCATCGTTAAAGTCTCTCTTCTCCCTGCAATCATGTCTAAGTCAGAGTCTTCTAAAGAGCCGGAACAGCTGAGGAAGCTCTTCATTGGAGGGTTGAGCTTTGAAACAACCGATAAGAGCCTGAGGAGCCATTTTGAGCAATGGGGAACGCTCACAGGCTGTGTGGTAATGAGACATCCAAACACCAAGCACTCCAGGGGCTTTGGGTTCGTCACGTATGCAACTGTGGAGGAGGTGGATGCAGCCATGAATGCAAGGCCACACAAAGTGAATGGAAGAGTTGTGGAACCAAAGAGAGCTGTCTCAAGAGAAGATTCTCAAAGACCAGGTGCCCACTTAACTGTGAAAAAAATATTCGTTGGTGGCATTAAAGAAGACACTGAAGAACATCACCTAAGAGATTATTTTGAACAGTATGGAAAAATTGAAGTGATTGAAATCATGACTGACAGAAGCAGTGGCAAGAAAAAGGGCTTTGCCTTTGTAACCTTTGATGACCATGACTCCGTGGATAAGATTATCATTAAGAAATACCATACTGTGAATGGCCACAACTGTGAAGTTAGGAAAGCCCTGTCAAAGCAAGAGATGGCTAGTGCTTCCTCCAGCCAAAGAGGTCGAAGTGGTTCTGGAAACTTTGGTGGTGGTCATGGAGGTGGTTTCGGTGGGAATGACAACTTTGGTCGTGGAGGAAACTTCAGTGGTCTTGGTGGCTTTGGTGGCAGCCGTGGTGGTGGTGAATATGGTGGCAGTGGGGATGGCTATAATGGATTTGGTAATGATGGAGGCAATTTTGGAGGTGGTGGAAGCTACAATGATTTTGGCAGTTACAACAATCAGTCTTCAAATTTTGGACCCACGAAGGGAGGAAACTTTGGAGGCAGAAGCTCTGGCCCCTATGGTGGTGGTGGCCAATACTTTGCCAAACCACGAAACCAAGGAGGCCATGGCGGTTCCAGTAGCAGCAGTAGCTATGGCAGTGGCAGAAGATTTTAATTAGGAAACAAAGCTTAGCAGGAGAGGAGAGCCAGAGAAGTGACAGGGAAGCTACAGATTACAACAGATTTGTGAACTCAGCCAAGCACAGTGGTGGCAGGGCCTAGCTGCTACAAAGAAGACATGATTTAGACAAATACTCATGTGTATGGGCAAAAAATCTCAAGGACTGTATTTGTGACTAATTGTATAACAGGTTATTTTAGTTTCTGTTCTGTGGAAAGTGTAAAGCATTCCAACAAAGGGTTTTAATGTAGATTTTTTTCTTTTTCTTTTTCTTTTTTTTCTTTCTTTTTTTTTTTTTTTGCATCCATGCTGTTGATTAGTAAATGTAATAGTCTGATCGTGACACTGAATAAATGTCTTTTTTTTTTAATGTACTGTGTAAAGTTAGTCTACTCTGAAGCCATCTTGGTAAATTTCCCCAACAGTGTGAAGTTAGAATTCCTTCAGAGTGATGCCAGCTTCTATTTGGAATTTATATACAACTTACTTGGACAGAGAAGCCATTGTCTTCAGAAACCTTGCTGTAGTTGAACTAATAGTTACTGTTGTGACCTGAAGTTCACGATTAAAAGGGATTACCCAAGCAAAATCATGGAATTATTGGCTATAAAGATGATTGTTGGCACATCCTATGCAATATATCTAAATTGAATAATGGTACCAGATAAAATTATAGATGGGAATGAAGCTTGTGTATCATCCATTATCATGTGTAATCAATAAACGATTTAATTCTCTTGAATGAAAAAAAAAGAAATGCTAAAGAAAGTTCTTCAAATTGAAGGAACATAATAATATAAATTTATATCTACAGAAAGGAATAAAGAACAAAGAAATGATAAACAAATGGTTTAAAGTGTTTATTAAACTCTTTAAAAGTTTTTTGTCAGTTTAACAAGAAATAATACTAAGTATTGTGGGATTTAAAGCATGTATAGACATAGAATATATAACAACAATAGTACGAAGGCAAGAGAGGATACAAACAAAACTATACTGTTATAAGTGTTTAATATGTGAAGTGAGATAGTATTAATTCAAGATAAAAAGTGACAAAATGCTGCATATTGCAGTCCCTAGAGCAGTCATTTAAAAAAATACAAAAATGTGTAGCTAAAATTCAGTAAAAGAGGTAGAATGAAATACTAAAACACATTGAACGAACCCCCCAAAAATGGAGGGAAATAAACCTAGGAAAGGAAAAACAAATAGAAATATTACAATCAAACCATAGCAATAATTACAGTAAATGTAAATGAGGTAGATTATTAAAATAAAAAGAAGAGATTGCTAGATTTAAAAACAAGTTACACCCAACTTCATGCAGTTTACAAGAACTCATATTAAATATAAAGACTCATAGATTAAAAGTAGAAATGAAAAAAGATGTACCATGCAAACACTGTATTAGTTCATTTTCATGCTGCTATGAAGAAATACTCAAGACTGGGTAAATTATAAAGAAAAGAGGCATAATTGACTCACAGTTCAACATGGCTGGAGAGGCCTCAGGGAACTTTTTTTTTTTTTTTTTTTTTTTGAGACGGAGTTTCGCTCTTGTTACCCAGGCTGGAGTACAGTGGAGCGATCTCGGCTCACCGCAACCTCCGCCTCCTGGGTTCAGGCAATTCTCCTGCCTCAGCCTCCTGAGTAGCTGGGATTACAGGCACAAGCCACCATGCCCAGCTGATTTTTTGTATTTTTAGTAGAGATGGAGTTTCACCATGTTGACCAGGATGGTCTCGATCCCTCGACCTCGTGATCCACCCGCCTCGGCCTCCCAAAGTGCTGGAATTACAGGCTTGAGCCACCGCGCCCGGCTGCCTCAGGGAACTTATAATCATGGTGGAAGGAAAAGCAAACACGTCGTTCTTCACATGGCAGCAGGAGAGAGAAGTGCCAAGTGAAGGGGGGAAAGCCCCTTACAAAACAATAGGATCTCATGAGAACTCACTTGCTATCATGAGAAAAGCATGAGGGAACTTCCCCCATGATCTAACCACCTCTCATGAGATCCCTATCCCAAAATGTAGGAATTACTATTCAAGATGAGATTTGGGAGGGGACACAGAGCCAGACCATATCAAACACCAATGATAAGATATTCAGTGTGACTATAGTAATATCAAAGTAAGTATCTGGACAAGGATATCAACATCTGGATAATAATATCAGCATTAAAGAGGTCTTTTAATAAGAATGAAAGGATTTCATCTAATAACAGATTTTCCAACTACATGCATTAAAACTGACAGAACTAAGGGATAAATGAACAAATCCAGAATTATTGATCAAAATTTAAACATTTCACTTTGAGTAATTGATGAAGCAAGTAGACAAATCATGAGGGAACTGCCCCCATGATCTAACCACCTCCCATGAGGTCCATCTCCCAAAATGTAGGATTACAGTTCAAGATAATATTTGGGAGGGGACACAGAGCCAGATCATATCAAACACCAATCATAAGATATTCAGTGTGGCTATAGTAATATCAAAGTAAGTATCTGGATAAGGAATAATATCAGCATTAAAGAGGTCTTTTAATAAGGATGAAAGGATTTCACCTAATAACAGATTTTTTAACTACATGCATTAAAACTGACAGAACTAAGGGATAAATGAACAAATCCAAAATTATAGATGGAAACTTAAACAGTTCACTATGAGTAATTGATGCAGCAAGTAGGCAAAGCCATCTAAATCTAACAATTAATTCCAGAATACAGACACTTTTCAAAAGGACAGGAAATTCACCAAAATAGGCTATATTCTGGGCTATAAAACAAGTGTCATTGAATTTCAAAAGACTGAGCTTGTACTGAGTGTGTTATCTGACCACAATGTAATAAACAGAATAAAATAACAATTTAAAATATTGAGAAAACTCTCCAATTATTTGGAAATAAATTAATAATTTTCTGAATAGCTCATGATTCAAAGGATAAATCGCATGAGAATTTGGAAACATTTCAGAATGAATAATAAAAATGCAATCTATTCAGATTTATGAGATGCAGTTAAGTCAGTACTCAGAGGGACATTTATAATTTAAATACTTTTTTTTAAAAGAGAAAAAGACAGAAAGAGAGAGAGAAGGAAGGATGGAGGAAGGAAGAAAAGTAATGCTATAACTTTTCCTCTTAAATAACTGGCAAATGAAGAGCAAATTAAACCCAAAGTACATGGAAGAAAGGAGATGAAAAATATGAGTAGAAACAAAATAGAAAAAAGGCCAAAGTTGGTTCTGTAAAAAGACTGATAAAATTTCTTTAGCTAGACTGGTTTTCAAAAAAAGTGGTGGGGGAAGGAGGGAAAACACAAATGACCAATTTCAGTAATGAAACAAGAGATATATACAGGTACTACAATTATTAAAGAAATATTACAAAAGCTTTCTGTCATTTAATTTGACAATAGATTAAATGGAATTTTTTTCTGGAAAGCATGATTTACCCAAAGGTACTTTTTGAAAAGGTAGAAAATTTTTATTAGCCTTATATCTTTCAAAAAAATGCATAATTAAAGGCCAAAGCAGGCAGATCACTTGAGCCCAGGAGTTTGAGACCAGCTTGGACAACATGGTAAAACCCCATCTCCATTAAAATATAAGTAAACAAAAACCTTCTACAAAGAAAATTTGAGGTCCAAATTGCTTTGCCAGTGAGTTCTATCAAACATTTAAAGGGAAACAATAGTAATCGTACACATTCTTTTTTAGAAAATAGAAGAGAGAAAAATTTCCAATTTGTTTTAGGAGGGCAGATAGCTGTGATACCAAAAAGATATTTCATTTCCAAAAAATTGAAAAATCAGTATACCTCATGAACGTACATAAAAACGTTTATTTTCTTTTTTTAAAAAATTATTCTTTAAGTTCTGGGGTACATATGCAGATTGTACAGGATTGTTACATAGGTATACACATGCCGTGGTGGTTTGCTGCATCGACCCCCTGCCTGCCATCTACATTAGGCATTTCTCCTAATGTTATCCCTCCTCTCTCCCTGCAACCCCTGCTATCCCTCCCCTAGCCCCCAAGCTCCCAACAGGCCCCAGTGTGTAATATGCCCCTCCCTGTGTCCATGTGATCTCATTGTTCAACACCCACTTATGAGTGAGAACATGTGGTGTTGGGTTTCCTGTTCTTGTGTCAGTTTGCTGAGGATGATAGCTTCCAGCTTCATCCATGTCCCTGCAAAGGACATGAACTCATCATTTTTTTATGACTGCATAGTACTCCATAATGTATATGTGCCATATTTTCTTTATCCAACCTATCACTGATGGGCATTTGGGTTGGTTCCAAGTCTTTGCTATTGTAAACAGTGCTGCAATGAACATACCTGTGCATGTGTCTTTATAACAGAATGATTTATAATCATTTGGGTATATACCCAGTAGTGGGATTGCTAGGTCTAATTAAATTTCTATTTCTAGAGCCTTGAGGAATCACCACACTGTTTTCCACAATGGTTGAACTAATTTACACTCCCACCAACAGTATAAAAGCATTCCTATTTCTCCATATCCTCTCCAGCATCTGTTGTCTCCAGATTTTTTAGTGATCACCATTCTAACTTGGTTTAGATGGTATCTCAATGTGGTTTTGATTTGCATTTCTCTAATGACCAGTGATGATGAACACTATGTTTGTTGGCTGCATAAATGTCTTCTTTTGAAAAGTGTCTTTTCATATCCTTCGCCCAATTTTTGATGGGGCTGTTTTTTCTTGTAAATTTGTTTAAGGTCCTTGTAGATTCTGGATATTAGCCTTTTGTCAGATGGGTAGATTGCAAAAATTTTTTCCCATTCTGTTGGTTGCTGGTTCACTCTAATGATAGTTTCTTTTGCTGTGCAGAAGCTCTTAAGTTTAATTAGATCCCATTTATCTATTTTGGCTTTTGTTGCCATTGCTTTTGGTGTTTTGGTCATGAAGTCTTTGCCTATGCCTATGTCCTGAATGGTATTGCCTAGATTTTCTTCTAGGGTTT